CGGTCCCTGTGCTTTAGCTTGTTCTAAGTAGGTGCTCCAGACCACTGAGCCATCTCACCAGCCCCAAAATTTTATTTCTTTAAAAATAAAATTTGTGGGGCTGGGGAGATGGCTCAGTGGAATAAGCACTTCCCTGGCAAGTGCAAGGACCTGAGTTCAATCCCTGGTTCTGCCAAAAAAAAAGGGGGGGGGCCTGGGAGATGGCTCAGTGGAATAAGCGCTTCCCTGGCAAGCACAAGGGCCTGAGTTCAAGCCCTGGTTCTGGAAAAAAAATAAAAAAATAAAAAATAAATAGAATTTGTTTCACTTTCTAAAACTTGTTTAGAGAGTGAAAGAAATAAGCCATATACTGGAAGGAAATACTTGCAAAACACATGGCTAATATATATATATCTATAATATATAAAAGACTCATAATTCAATAGTGACAAAATAGCCCAATATTCAAAATTGATAAAAGGCTCCAGAGTCTATGCACACACTAAAGATATACAGAGGACAAATAAGGATAGATGCTTAATATCATTGGGTTTAGAGAAAATTAAAATCACAATGAGATTATTACAGATCTATTAGAAAGGCTGAAAGAAAAAGATGTGACAAACATTTGTTTATTTGTAAGTATGCAGGGCACGTACAGTGCTCAGACATCACTGGCAGAAATGAAAAATGATACAGCCAGTCATATTGAACAGGGGCTGGGGAGATGGCTCAGTGGAATAAGTGCTTGTCCGGCAAGCGCAAGGGCCTGAGTTCAATCCCCATTTCTTAAAAAAAAAAAAAAAAAAATTGAAGAACAGTTTGACAATATCTTCTCAAGCAGCCATATTATTCAGTGAGCTCCTTGATTTACAAAAGACCAGTGTTCATGCAAAATGTCCCTATAAATACTGTGCATAAGTGTTTATAGCAGCTTGGCCATATGCCTGTTGTAAATCTGTACAAAATAAAGTATTAACTCCACAGTGAGGTCTCCCCACTTAGGGTATCATGGGGAAGGGAAGGCACTTTCCGCTGTGGTGTCTTCTTGGTGCCTGACTTGAGGACATCATTGTAGAGCAGAGGGATCCCTTGATGACCTGTGGTGAAAATGGTCATGATACAGCTAAAAAAGGTAAGGCTGGAGAGTGTGACTGAGAAAGGAGGAAGAGGAATGGGTTAGTGGGGAGAAGGAATCATTGAGCTGGCGGGAAAGAATGGAAATGCTCCATTGCCAGGGAGATAGTTCAGTGGCTTAAGCGCTTGCCTGGCAAGCACAAGGTCCTGAGTTCAATCCTCGGTACTGAAAAAAAATTGTGGCAATACTCCATCATATGTGGCCGTCTCTCCCTGAGACTGATCAAGGCACAGTAGGGCACACTGGTGGGCTGTCTCAGTGGAACTGTGCTTGGGACTTCTTTTTGAGCATTTTTAGCAACATCTGCAGGAATCTTAGCAATCTGACTCACCATAGAAACATAGATGAAACATATAATTAGATTTTTGCACCTGATCCATTTAATTTATGTGTTATTAACCAGTAGGAGACTGTCTAGATGTTGGGGCAGCTCTCTGATTTGAATCTGTAACATGTAATTCAGTACCCTAGTTTTATGTTAGACTATTAGGATTTTCTGATAAAAATTATTCTCTGTTTCCCAATCTACCTCTATTTCTCTTAATGACTCCTGTATCCTGAGCTCCCTTTGCAGTCTGAAGAAAGTATTTTACTGATAACAAAAGGCTCTGGTAGCAAAACAAAGTTATTAAAAACTAAAAAAGGAATCTTATCAAGCTGGATATCAATCTTTTGGGGGAGGGTGAACTTCTAGCTATGTCAGGAAGGTAAAAAAGCCATTTGATAAAATAATTTTTCCTATAAATTATGCCAGAACAATTGAATAGCCAAAGCAATATAAAACTCAGTTTTTCTTACATCATATAAAAAATTACATTGAATCGGTGTGATGGTGCACATTTGTAATGCCACCACTCGAGGCTAAGGCAGGCGGATTACCATGGCTCAAGGCCAGCCTGGGCTGCACGCACAGTGAGTGAAGGCCAGCCTGAACTTCATAGCAAGGCTCTGTTTCAAAAATGCGAAAATAAATTTTAAAAAAAGTAATTTGAACCTGTAATCCCAGCACTCTGAGGGTCTGAGACAG